GTACTGCTCGTAGTGGTATGTGTAAGGAGGAGGAGAGGAGAGGAGAGCACGGATGGGAATGATGTGACGTAAGAAAAATACGCTGCAATGTAAGTGAGACTGACATTATTGAGCTAGGATATGCTATTAACCTACCATACGATCTGCTCCCACGTTTGCATTTGTGAGAGTAGAGAACGACACGACACTGACTTCTTCCTGTATTGACTGATAACTGCAATAAAGTTTCCAGTGATACTTGCAATCAGGGAACCAACTGTAAGATGGTAAAATACGGCTGGGCGAACTACGCGCTGGCTCAGCACGGGTCTGGTCGGGATAGTTTTCAACCGTTCACAGCCATCTCGCACCACGAATCACTACGGCTCTGGTGCGTGCCAACCAAGCGCACTGTGTCGCCCTGGTTCCGTGGTGACTCGTGGTGCAAGCTGGTTGTGAGCATGTTTGAGAGGTTTAGTGCCATCCCGAACCGTCCCGTGCTGAGCAAGCTCATTGTGGAACACGTAACATTGTCGCGCAAACCCACAAGAGAGAGCGAGTCCTCGCCACGCCACTCTTTGCCGCTTCAACTCGTAACGAACCCACGAAACTTAGCCAAGCTTCCGCAGCAAGCCGTTCGCCACCCAACTCCCTTTCGCACGGGTCCCTCCTGTATGGGACTCCTGCCATCGTTTCCCTCGCTGATCCTGCCGAAATTCGAACAAGGCCCTTCGTTCGAAAACAAACCACACCACACACCACCTCCTCGTGTTTTCACCACCTCCTCGTGTTTTCACCACCTCCTCGTGTTTTCACCACCTCCTCGTGTTTTCACCACCTCCTCGTGTTTTCACCACCTCGTGTTTTCACCACCTCCTCGTATTTTTATTCCTTGCCTGTTTTCCCGGCAGGCTCCCTCTGAATCTGCGTTACACATTTCCTTCCCGTGATGTGCGTTGGCGGTGTTCGCCAGCACATTTGAAAGCAAAAACGAGGGGATAACGACGGGATCAGGAAGGTCAGTCTCGCCTTCCTGATCCCGTCAGTTAGGGTTCGTTAACCTCCGTCAGCCAGGTCAGCCCGTAAAAATGCTGCCGAGCCTCTTATGCCGTCCGAACCTCTTAGAAACGTGAAGGCGTGGCGAACGCCCCCAATTTTCATCCATTTCGAAATGTGAGACCGCATATGGAAACGGGGTCGCAGTTTCCTCCCCTGGCAAAAACAAACCCCCTGCGATGCCATCGCCATTCACCTCTCCACGGTGAATACCGATGGCATGGCTGTGGCATTGCAGAGCAGAGGGGAACCTCTGACCCCCCCAAATGTTTGACGAATGGGGGTTAGGTTACCCCCAACTTTCCTATCCCGAATGGATTGCCGGAGTCCATTCCGTAAACCCTAAGGGAGTCCGTCAGTCTGGTTTGTGAGTGGCCTGAGTACGAGGGGTGGACGGGGTGTATTTGAGATGGGTTTTTTTTGTTTTTTGCGCTTGTTACCCTGGTTCGTTTTTGGCCCTCGGTCTGGCAATGGTCAGTGGCGCGAAAAAAGCGCGCCACTAGATGAGGAAGGTGGGGCTGGGGGTTCCATATGCGGTTGCGAATTTTCCCGTTTTGGGAATCGAAGTTCCGCGGACCGCATTACGCCCAGACCTCTTGGGCGGTTTCCGCCCCCGGTTCCTGATGCGGTCACCATTCCGATGCGGCGAAAATGCCATCTATTTCAAAGTTGCTGGCGAACACCGCCATTGTTTGCTTCTCTAGCGCGGAAGCCGCGTCAATGATTTCGATGAGAAGATGTTTCCATAACAGCGCCGACGAAGGGAGTGCAACAGCAGCAGAGGGCAATCAGCAGCAGGACAAGCATCCATCAACAGAAACCCTTCCGGAAACAGCAACTTCAGTTGAAATAGAGAAGATTGTAGACTATAATCAGCAGCACCAGCACTAGCACTAGCAGCAGCAGCAGCAGCAGCAGCACAAGTTAGTAACCCTATCAGCCGACGTTCTCGAATGTGTTTTTAAACGGCTGAAGCGACCCGAACATGCGCACGCAGTCAGCTCCGTTTGCAAGGAGTGGCGCGACGTTTTCGAGAATCGAACCCGCGACTTCTCGGTTCTTTACAACGTGCGGACCGCGCGCTGGGAGCCTTGCTTCCGTGACGTCAGCAGCTGCAGTTTTGTTACAGGGTGGCACCCGGGAAATGTGCCACTATGGATTCTAGACGACTCGTTACTGTGCATGCCGAATGATCACGTCCGCGTGACAAGCAAACCCCCCTGGTTCACCCCAGCGCTTGTATCGGACGTTCTCTTGTCGAAGATTTCTCAACAGCGTGTCTCCCGGGACCCGACGGAAAGCAGATTGGCGCCTCGATTAGACGGTTTCCGAGCCTGACGTCCGTCAATATCCCAGTCTTCGTCAAAATGCTTTTTGGCCAGACGCGTCCATTCCATGACGAGGATCTGCGTGAAGCTTTATTCGCCATTGCCACGTGTCGCTCTCTCCGCATTTGCCGGATCCAGATCCGGTTTTCCCGAGACCTTTCGTTCGGATCCCACCTTAGCGAGTTTAACTCCATCTTGGCCGAACTCCTTGCTAATATTCTCGATTCTTGCCCGCGCCTCCAGTCGTTCCATGTGCAAACGACGGACATGCTTAGATTGGCCGCGAGTGATGAGTTGCCAGACTTGTTAACCGCAATTTCGCCTTTCCCAGCCGCGGCAGGCACCGAGCCTGCAATTTCTTCATCCGAGGCGACCGCAGGCTCGGTAGGCTCGGTAGGCTCGGTAGGCTCGGGAGGCTCGGGATGCTCAGGAGGCTCGGCAGGCTCGGCGGCCACAGAACTGCTACCAGGCTCGAAGCATCAGCGACAACAGCGGCTACTAACCCATCTCTCCCTCCTTCTACACCATCCCCTCTCCAACTCATTTTCATCCTCCTCCTTTGCTTCCACGTTCCCTCACCTCCGTTCGCTTCATCTTCACTTGACGTGCGTAAACGAGTCGTTTTTCGCCTCCTCTGCTCCCTTGTCGCAACTACAAGCGTTACAAGAGCTTCACATAAGTTCGGAGGTATTGTCGCGGAGTGAAACACCGAACCTCTCTCCGGACCTGTTTTTTGGCTTGGAGCATTCGCTTCAGAAGCTGTCTCTCAACCTATGGGCCTGCTTACCCCGCTACGGCGCGAGAATTCGACGCAACCTTAGCTTCCATAGCACTGATTCCTTTATAGGTTTGCTTCCGGACTCTATATGGGGACTTGAACGGTTGGAGGAACTAGAGACGAATATGTTCAGCAGCCGAGAATCCGCAGCAGCAGCAGCAAGCAGGGATAATGAGGGCAACGAGGAGGAGGAGGAGGGTGAGAGTTTGAACGAGCCTTGTTTCGCGGCTGACTCTCTAGAAGAGCCGCGTTTCGCGGGCTTTAAGCGGTTGACTTCGTTGATTCTCACTTCCGCGTGATGGGGGATCCATCCGCCATCCCTCAGGCACTTGCCGAGCCTGACGCGGCTCCACATGCCCGAGGCTTTTCCGAACCTGAGCTCCAGGCCCGGGGTTGGGCTGTGGCATCTGACATCCCTGAAATACCTGTGCATTTCCGAGGTTGACTGGGAAGTGTTGGAGGCGTGGCAGCAGCAGCAGAGGCAGCAGCAGCAGCTGTTGCAGGGTCATGGAAATCAGCTCGGTCAACACGGTCAACAAGGCCAGCAGGGTCAACAGGGTCAAAGCCAAGCCGAGACTCTACAGTCGTTTCTCCCTCCTGCGCTAGAGTCCTTGACTCTGCACGGACGTCATTTCAGCGAGCAGATCCTGTCCTCCTGGGCCTGCGCTACAATCACACACCTCAAGCTGGTGAATGTTAGCTGCCCACCAGTTCCAGACTCAGATTGCCTCTTTCCGAACCTGAGGGTCTTCCAAGCCATACACTCCACCACTAAGATCGGGGCCCTGCCGAACCTGATGCACAGGCTAGAGGACTAAACCTGGGTCGGGGAATCGAGCGGACGGTTGTCCGCGCACTCGAAGCTGGCGTTCCTGAAAGTGGATTGGCCCACCAATGCCAAGGCCTATCATTTTCATCCTCAAATCATCTAAATCCTGCAAACCTGTGACTCAAGTCTTCCAGGATTTGGGATTGCCTTTCTTCCTGCGCGTCAAAGCTAAGAAGTTTGTGCTTTTCTGCATTCTCAAAGGTTGTTCAATGTGAGTATCAAGAAGGGATCGATCGGAAATATTACCTGCCCGGCCAAGCTGAGGACCTTGGAGATTACGAGTCATTGTTTTCAAGCCTGCACGAGAGCTTTGCCTGCATAAATTGCATCTAGCGGCTGTATCACTGCGAGGAGATGAAGTCTTTACCAGAGTACCTGGCGGGCTTCGACCAGCTTACAGAGCCCGCATGCAAAATAGTGACCCCCCCCTTCTAGTTGGGTCCACTAGAAAGCTCATGAAATTTTCCAGAAAGTTTGGTGCTTTTTTCTGAACAGGGCAAGTCCCCAAGTAGTAACAAGACCGATTTGAAGTTGTTTCCGACTTCTGATACGATCAGTCGCAACATGCACAGAATTGTCGCAAGCTTGCTATGACATTTCCACTTCTCCCACCCATCCAAATCCGCATCGAGCACAACACATCACAAATTTCACAACGGAACCTGCCACCACACACGCAGCATACACAAAATGTTGAGCTAACTAACAACACAGAGTGATGCAAGTAGCAAACAGAAGAACGACAAGGTGACTCGAGAGGAGAGAGAGGGGCCGACGGGAATTAGAACGGTAAGGGAGGGGGTATAGCGAGGGCGATTTACCGTACAATGGGGGAGATCGCGGGCGACGGAAAATGGAGTAGATCGCGTAGGCGACTGCAAATGGGGGATCGCTATGAGATCGCGTGGGAGATAGCGAGCGCGACGGGGAGAGGGGGGAGAAACAGCTAGCGCGACGGGGTGAAGGGGGGAGATAGCGACGGCGCGGAACGTGATGGGAGATAGCGACGGCGCGAGACGTGCTTGCTAGCTTAACTTATGTCGCGCAACGTGATCGGAGGGGAGGCCATGAGCGCGAAGGCGGTGCGAAGACAGGTGCACGTGAGCGCGATGGTGACGGGAGGGCGGAACGTGAGCGCGATGCCGATGGGAGGGGAGGACGTGAGCGATAGGAGATGAATTGGGGATGGAGAAAGGCGACGGGAGGGAGAGCGCGAAGGCGAAGGGAGGGAGGGCGCGAAGCCGACAGGAGGGAGAGCGCGAAGGAGACGGGAGAGAGAGCACGAAGGCGAGGGGAGGGGGAGCGGACAGGCGACGGGAGAGAGAGCGCGAAGGCGAAGGGAGGGAGGGCGGACAGGCAACAGGAGGGAGAGCGCGAAGGAGACGGGAGAGAGAGCGCGAAGCCGACGGGAGGGAGAGCGCGAAGGCGACGGGAGAGAGAGCACGAAGGCGAGGGGAGGAGGAGCGGACAGGCGACGGGAGAGAGAGCGCGAAGGCGAAGGGAGGGAGGGCGGACAGGCAACGGGAGAGAGAGCACGAAGGCGAGGGCGGGGGGAGCGGACAGGCGACGGGAGAGAGAGCGGACAGGCGACGGGAGGGGGAAGGGATATCGCGAGGGAGACGGAAGGAAAAGGGGGACATTGAAGGCAACGTGAGAGAAGGGAGATAGTGAGGGCGACGGGAAGGAAGAGGGGACATCGAAGGCGAGGGGCGGGAGAACGGGAAGGCGACGGGATCGGAGGGAAATCGCGAGGGCGATGGGACAAGAGGGGTGAACGGGAGAATAACGGACCGGGAGGGGAGACCGTGACGACGACGGGAGGGCCGTCACGCGTGTGTTTGCGAGGGCGACGGAAAGGCGACGGGACGGACTAGAGAGCGAGGCGACGAGCAAATTGATTGAGACGGGAAACTGGCACTGCGCTACCAGGCCACGTAAACCTACATTGCTAAGTCGACAATTGACGCACTCGTCGGTAATTACGTGGCTATGACACGCACGCCTGTGCTTGCAGCTATACTACTTACTATGCTATGCGGAAACTAGTGATGAATGGAGTGACAGAAATCTAGTAATGCACCCACCACCAGCTTGAAAATGAGGTTGGGCCTGCGATGGGAAACCATCGCCTGGGGTTTGTCGTGCGGATGCGGCACGCAAAAATGCGACGGCTGATATGAGAAAGAAAGTTCATTTTGGCGGGAACCATTACGTTCCATTGTGGCGAGAGCCAATAACATGAGTTCACTCTGCCCATACAAATCGTTTGAAACAGTGTTTTTGATACTGGTTTCATCCTCACTTGCAACTCCTCATTCAAGTTGGGACGGGGGTCACTATTTTGCATGCGGGCTTTAAGGGTTCTAAGGATAATATAGAGATTCCAAGAAGTATAAAAGCTGTTCTATCTCGAGCCAACTATAAAATGGAAAGCTAGGTAGGTGGCTGTGTGGATTATTGTGAGGGAGGGCATACCTAAGCAATTCTGTCAAGAATGAAAGTGTTGGTTCATTGATGTGGGTTGGGGTACATATAACAAACCCTAACATCTGTACCCCCTAAGACAAACCTCACTACAGGCTACAACATTTGACACACCCCCATAGCCTAAGTGAGGGGTGTCAAGCAAAACCAAACGTGTACGGTCACAAGACCAGTCACAAAGAAACAAAGCTCAGGGTGGATCACAACGTCACCACACACTCTGAGCACAAGCAACAGAAGCCACAAGGCCAGTTCGAGAGTTCACAAGTGTGTATAGCAAGAGTACAAGCAAAGCAAACAGTAGACTCAAGCCTATACACGACTAGAAACTGTGTCAACAAGGCCTAACTGCACACAACACCTCTGGTGGTCACAAGGCGGAAGCGCCTTGGTGAAGATGTCTGCAGTGTTGGCCTCGGACTCCACAAACTCGAAGCGAGCCTGTCCACGTCTCTGCAACTCTCGCAGAAGAAAGTACCTGACGTTAATGTGCTTCACTCTGCTCTCCAGTCGCGGCTCTCGACAAAGGAGAATCGACGCCTTGTTGTCAGTGAACAAGGTCGGTGCAGAGCTCGGCCGCTCACCAAGGTTGGCGAGCAAGAAGGTCAACCAACGCAGCTCCTGTACCGTCTCCCGTTACCGACCTCCGCACTGCCCTCCTTTGTTGGTCTCTTCGTCGTCCTCCTCCTGAGTCCGTTCTCCCGTCTCCTCCTCCGTCCTCTCTCCCTGTCCCCCCTACTCCTATCACTGACTACTACCGTGCTATTCGTCCTGTTGTCTCCCGTGTCCTCGCCACTCTTGTCACCGACTCTCGTTTCCCTCCGTCGTCTGTCTCGGCTCTCACTGCTGCTGTCGCTGAGTTTGCTGCCGCCACCCGCCTTGAGTACGCCACCCGTGTGGTGCCAGCTCCTCCCTCCTGTCCTCTGTTCGTCGGGGGTGACTTTGCCCTTGGCTGTGACGTTCTAGAGGACAGAGAGTCTAAGCTGGAGTACTGGGCAGCCGCTTCTCCCTCTGTCTGTGCCATGCTGCTATCCCCTGAGGGAGACCCCGACGCCCTTGACATACCGACTCCTCGTACTTACCGCAAGGCAGTCTCAGGGGCGTGGGCCTCTCAGTGGAAAGCGGCTATGGCATCGGAGTTAGCCTCTTGGAGATCCACAGGCACCTACGTCGACGCAGTTCCCCCTCCCAGGGCGAACGTAGTCGATGGCATGTGGCTCTTCAAGGTGAAGCGGCCGCTTGGTTCACCGCCTGGCGCTACGTGGCTAGGGATTTCAGTCAGCGTGAGGGAGTTGACTTCTTCCAGACCTTCGCCCCGACCCCGAAGATGACTACTCTTCGGGTGTTACTGCACGTAGCAGCACAGCGAGACTACGAGCTGCACTCCTTTGACTTCTCCACTGCGTTTCTCCAGGGCCGACTACACGAGGAGATCTGGCTGCGCCGCCCTCCTGGCTTCACTGACACCTTCCCACCTGGGACCCAGTGGAGCCTGAGGCGGCCAGTCTACGGTCTCCGCCAGTCACCCCGTGAGTGGCACGACAATCTTCGCTCCACGCTTTGTAACCTTGGGTTTAGTCCGTCGTCCGCCGACCCGTCGCTGTTTGTTCGGGCTGGTTCCACTCCTTTCTTCATCCTTGTCTACGTCGACGACTTGGTCTTTGCTACAGCAGACAGGGCAGCTCTGGCTCAGGTGAAGTCCGAACTGCAGAAGAGACACAAGTGCACTGACCTAGGTGAACTGCAGCGCTACCTTGGCCTGCAGATCACCAGGGACATAGCCGCTCGTACCATCACACTGACTCAGTCACACATGGTGCAGCAGGTCCTTCGGCGGTTCGACTTCCAGTTCTCCACCACACAGCCCACACCTCTTCCGGTTGACCACAGACTCACCGGCCCCTTTCCGGACGAGCCCTTTGAGTCCAGTGGTCCCTACGCAGAGCTGGTGGGCTGCCTCATGTACCTGATGACTTGTACTCGGCCGGACCTCGCCTTTCCCCTCAGCATCCTTTCTCGCTTTGTTGCGACTGGGAGACACCGTCCAGTCCACTGGACAGCTGCTGTGAGGGTGGCGAAGTACCTGGCGACTACATCAGGCATGGGGCTTGTGATTGGAGGGACTCAGCCAGTGGCGTTGACTGGTCACTGCGACTCTTCCTACGCTGACGACGTGGAGACTCAGCGCTCGACTCAGGGTTACTGCTTCAGTCTGGGAGCTGGTGCTGTGTCGTGGAGGTCTACACGGTCGTCGTCTGTGGCTACTTCCAGTGCAGAGGCAGGGATCTACGCTGGTGCCATGGCGGCACAGGAGCTTCGCTGGTTGACCTTCTTGCTCGCCGACCTTGGTGAGCGGCCTCGCTCTGCACCGACCTTGTACGATGACAACAAGGCCATGATCCTCCTCTGTCGAGAGCCTCGACTGGAGACCAGAGTGAAGCACATTGACGTGAGGTACTTCCTCCTGCGAGAGCTGCAGCGACGCGGCCAGGCACGCCTGGACTTTGTGGCCTCATAGGCTAACACTGCAGACGTCTTCACCAAGGCCCTAGCGCTTGGTGACCACCACATGTTATGTGTGCAGTTGGGGCTTGTTGAGGTAGGCCCTCGGTTGATGTAGTCTTGTTGCTTGCTCTGCTTGTTGTGCTTTCCTATATATATCATAGTGAACTCTTGAACTGGCCTTGTGGCCGCTTGCTTGCGCTCGGAATTTGTGTGGTGTCCTTTAGATCCACCCTGAGCTTGCTTTGCTTCTTGCTGACTGGTCTTGTGACCGTTTCTCTGTCTTGCTTGTTTTTGATGCCCCTCACTTAGCCTATGGGGGTGTGTCAAATATAATAGTTATAGGCTGTAGTGAGTTGCATTGTAGAGGGTACAGATGCTAGGGTTTCCTATTTGTATCCAACACTTTGCTAGTTCATACATTCCGTTGTGTTTAGATTCTGAGAGCGGGCCCCTCCTTTGTCAGGGCCAAACAGTTCTTCTGGGTCAGGAGTGGTTGTTGCTCCTCCCTCCATGCAAGCTATGAACCATTGAGAATAATGCGATGTTTGTGTTGTCAGATTTGAGAATTTAATGTTGATGCTCCCATATTTGTTCTAGGGCCCCTGCTGAACCCTCAGAGCAGGCCACAGTATATGAGGGTTGACCATCATCCTGATTTGCCAATCGATTATAAAGTTTCACGCAAAATTACGTACCTGGGTGCAATACGTTCATCCCAAAATAGTGCACCTACCCCCCCATTTTCATCCCTAACATGGTATATTGTCTTCTAAACCCTGTCTCTGCTGTCACACCTGCTGCCAATGCAGCCCTCACAGCGCATGATGGAAATCAAGGAATGGCCCCACAAGAGGCAATGCATCACCACCTCTTTCACCTTTATATATTCTGTTTGCTACTGATACTGTAATGGTACGTAAGCATTACAAGGAGGATATCAACACTAAAGCTAAGCATTGTGATAGCAAGGTTTTTGGCGTAGACGCGCATGACGGAGGCCATACTGTAGACCTCGACGACCAGCGGAAGAGGAGCATGTACACCACCATTCCTTTTATTGCGAATTGTTACTCACTGAAAGTCGGACCTCCGACCTTGCAATCTTCTGACCTCATCCGTGCAGCGTAAAAGACGGCTTCTGTGATGACATTTCCTGACGCGCAGGTCGACGACGTCCATACGTCTGCTCAGTGTGTCGTACCCCTGTCCACTCGTTACTCGTGTTTCTTTTGGTGAGAGAGAACAGTACGAATTTAGTCACCAGCAATATGGCTGTGCGATCGCAAACCCTGCCTGCTAGGCAATCAGGTCAGGTGTGTCCCCACGTCTCGAAATTAGGACACCTGCCATGCCGTGGCGTGACATCCACGGAATAAGTCGGACTGTCGGAGGAAGTGCACACATGGATTACCTGTTGACTGGCAACTGCCGGTCGGTAGCATCAGCTTTGTTATGCAGAAAGCTAAGCAGTCCTCCCGCTGCACAGGCAGCGTAAACAGTATGTAAGGCTCGCAGCTCCTTCTTGATTTGTACCAATCGCTTCGGCATTTCAACCCAATATATCGTGCTGGTTATCGAATCCCGAACAACAAGTCACCGAGATTCGTCAATAGGCTTAGAGTATCAGGCACTGAAAGCACTTCATCAGTATCCATGGCGCCGGCTGACGTGTCTCCGTTGCTTGTGGCCAACAACTCGTTGCCTTCTGAAGCCTACTATGTCGGAGAGAAGGAACCTGGGAGCAAAGATCCGATTCTTGCGGGTAATGAAGATGTGAAGTTTGAGACGAAGACGGTGTCAAAAGACGCGGAGGCTTTCGAGAGTGGAGCAGATTACGATGATCTGGTCTCAACGAGGGAGTGGAGCACAGGGCTTTGCTCGTGCATTCCAGGCTCCAATAGCGAACACGCTCGCTCGGATTGCGAAATCTGTGAGTGTTGCTGACAAACTTCACATACCATATTTATTGTGATCGCGTGTTCTTGGTGTGACTTATTCCGCGTATTTCGCTCATTGCTTCTTCTCCGATTCCCGTGTGTCTCCTTCAGGCTGCCTCGGCACGTTCGCGCCATGCGTGCTGTATGGAAGCAACATGGTTCGCCTAAGTGGTAACGAGAACGAGTTCTACAACATCTGCCTGTGTTACACGTCCCTGCTTATTCTTGGGAAAGTAATCTTCAGACTCAACGTGTTTGCGCCAACCAAGACATGGTCCAGCCGATCCGCCATTCGCACGCAATTCGGCCTTCAGGTACGTCTGAATAGGTTATCATCAAACAAGTTCCTAAACCACATCCTTGTCCTGCCAAACTTACTAGTGCTGAAGCTGTATTCCACTTTACAGCAACACCTTTTCCCTGTTTCTGTTCCCCTGCATGTATGTGCCTCGTATCCCCGATCCAGAGCGGAGCTGAAAGAGTAACAAGCGATCCTTCAGACGGTTGTCATCAGTGCTGTGACTGTTTTCTGCACTTCATCTGTCACCGATGCGCTCTATGTCAGGAGGCAAGGGAGATTAGGAGGCGGATCCCTCCTTTGTCAGGCCCAGACAGTTCCTCTGGATCAGGAGTGGCTGTTGCTCCTCCCTCCATGCAAGCCATGAATCACCGAGGATAATGTTGTGTGTGTGTACCATCTGTATATTATCAGCATCTACTTATATCTGAGATGCTAGATGCTCTCAGATTAGTTCTACAGCACCCCGAACCCTCAGGTCAAACCCTATAAGAAGTTTTGTTGCACATTATCCTGTTTTGCCTACGACATTGTCTCCCTTGTTGGAACCAAGAGCCACTGCTAAATCATAGTGCGGTAGAAACTGGAAATGCGTAGTCTCTCTAACTGGAAAAGGATGCTGTATGATAAGCTTACGAATCTGCAGTTGGAGGCATGCCTAATTATTTGAAGCATTTGCATGTAGCGACAATGTAGCACCACTTTCACTTTTAAATATACAGTTGCTACTGATAACGAAGCAATAAATGGAGGATATCCATACCATACTGGAACTTCAGTACTGTATAGATTGCCCGTCGAGAAAGGAAAGCTTTGACCGGTCGGTTTCGCGCTTGAAGGTTCGCTGGCCTGCCTTCCCCACACCTGCTTTGCCAGATTGACAGCATCCTATTCGTGCTTCCCCCTCCAGTTATTTTCCCGTCAACACAGTTCGTCAAGATGAACAATTTCGCACAAGGCGACAGCTCAACACACGTTTTCCGTTTGCGCGGCTTTTCCAGTCAACATATTTCCTTTCTGCCAAAGAGGAACGTATCGCACACGGTACGTCTAGTCTAGTGGGGCATCTGCTAGGCTGTGTAGTGAATACGAGCAGGAAGGAGGAAGGTTCTTCATTGTTTGCAGTAGTACGAGTCCGATATATTCGCTCACAAAGCAGGAGAAAGCAGGTCGAGTTCTTTGTCACTCATTTTGTTCTGTAGCTCCAGCAGTATTTTTGTGATCCAGCGTCTGTTTGTTCTTACGGTATTCTGCTGTCCTTTTTCAAGGAAAAACTTCGTTATATCATTTTAGCACCGATGGCGGCGACTGCTGCGTCTCCTCTTCTTGAGGGTGATAACTGCTACTACGTTGGAGAGAAGGAGCCTGGGAAGAAAGATTCCGTTTCTGTGGCTGCAGCTCCGGTGTCCGAGAAACTGCCGATTCTCTCTCAAGATGAAGCTAGCGTCGTTTCGGAGCCCACGAGAGAGTGGAGCACAGGGATCTTCTCCTGCGTTCCAGGCTCGGATGAGCACACGAGCTCCGATTGCGAAATTTGTGAGTCCGTCGGCAAGGAACGCCTTCACCAGATCTATTCTTTCTTTGTTCAGCATTTTCTTTTCAATTTATGAAGCGTAATTTTTATTCTCCTCGTACTCACGTTCATCATGTATTCCTACTCTGCGTTTTGTGTCTATTTCGTCAGGCTGCCTTGGTATGTTCGCACCGTGCGTGCTGTACGGAAGCAACATGACCCGGCTAACCGGCGACGCGAATGAGTTTTATGACAGCTGCATGCGTTACACCGCCTTGTTCGTTCTTGGGAAGTGCTTGCTGCACTGCAACGCGCTCGCTCCAATCTCGTCGTGGCCCAGCCGATCCGCCATTCGCTCGCAACTCCGACTCCAGGTTTGTTCTTGACAACATTCTTCATCGTTTCTGATCCAGATCGTATCGTCATGATCTCAGCCTCAGAACTGCCTGGGTCATTCTTTTACGAAGCTCCATCGTTTTTTCTCATTTCGTTCCGCCTGCTGCCTCATGTGTTTTGCAGAGCGGAGCCGAAGACATCACAAGTGATCCTTCAGACAGTTGCCATCGGTCCTATGACTGCATGCTACATTTTTTCTGCCACAGATGCGCGCTTTGCCAGGAAGCGAGGGAGATTAGGAGGTGTTTCCCTCCTTTGTCAGGCCCGGGGTCTGCTGCTGCTGATGGGGTGGCTGTCGTTGCTCCGAAGGTGCAAGCCATGAACCACTGACAAAAATAGATAAATATATACATCATTGTAAAAAGCACTACCTGTACTTTCTGATCAAGTTTCGCAAAAAGGCTGGTTTCCTTGCCTGTTTTTGTCAGGCCCTATTCTTGTTGGGCTGCCTATATTCTTGTTGAATCCCCTAAAGGCTTGATCTGACGTACTTTCGGTGTTGATTACCCTCATCTTTGCATGTACCTACAAAAATGGACCTACTGGTTCCTCCTAATCCCAATCGCATGCTCCAGGATGTTGGGAAAAGAACCGTGTAAGGAAAATTCCTTTTCCTTACTTCGCGTCCCTGCTTACCGCGTACATCACCGTTCCCGCCATCAGCACCCATCCATGCACGTTACCCGTTCACGACACTCGCCTCTACCACGACTCCCGCCACTGTTCACGACGCGACCCAACCTAACGGTTCGGTTGGTAACCCGCGCTCCGGACCTCCGCCTCGACAATTCTCCAAACCTCGGCGCTAGGCCCGTAGCGCACCTCAATTTCCCACTTTACCGTTACCACTGTAGTTTCGCTATATATTCTTCACTCATGCCTTCGCTCATTGCACTCGTAACACTTGGTATTCAGAGCCTACGATCTCTTCTCGGACCGCACCCACACCTTCGCTTCCCCACTATCTCAATTTTTTGGGGGGGGTAGACGTCTCTCAGCGAACAAGCACCGCCGCTCGAAGTGCTCTCTCGAAAGCACGCACGGCCACGACCGAGGCTCTCGCTGAGCTTGCCCGACACCCCCGCCATGGCCGAATTTACTCTCGCGACACTGACGCAGGAGCAACTCGACCGTCTCGTGCGCCAAGTCGAGGATTCGGCGCTCGAAATTGCGACGCTCACGGCGGAACGTGACTCCGCGCGTCAGCAATCCACGGTGAATACTCCAGCACCACCACACGCACCTGCAAATGTACCCGCACAATCGGAGTTTCGATCGTCATTTCATCCGGCACACCAACACAGAACGACAGCGTGGGACAGCGCGCAGGCGCAGCCAGTGATGGCGCCGCTCACTCGATGCCTGGCATGGAAAGGAACAGGGTCGCACCAAGCCCGCGGGAGCCTCGTGAAGCCCGTCGACACGTGGAATTTGCGGCGTCAAGTGGCGACCACGCCAGCATGGCACCAATGCCACTCAAGCCGCAGCGCCCGCCTTGCTTCGACCCGAGCCAACGTGGAGGTCCGACGGTTCAATCGTGGGTCTTCACGATGAACGTCTTCTTCGACGCGAACTACGTCGAGTCGGACGCAGCGAAGATCAGATACGCCGTCTCGCTGCTGAGGGGCCCCGCCATGGACTGGTGGCGAGTCATCGTGACGTCGCCACGCGCCTACGAGCCACCGTCGCAAGAGGAAGGGCCCACGGGCCCAGCTTGTCAAAATCTAGCAGCAGGAATGATTGAACTATGAAAGAGTTGGGTACAAGTATGAAACCCTAAAAGGGGCTGTACCCCATATTGGCTACCCCACTACAGCCTACACATATATAGCATGCATATACTTTGACACACCCCCATAGGCAAACTGGGGGAGAGCAAGGGGTCACAAGACCAGTCAAGAGAAGCAAAGCAAGCTCAGGGTGGATCACAACGTCACCACACACACTGAGCACAAGCAAAGGGCCACAAGGCCAGTTCACATGCAGGGGTATATATGAAAAAACAACAGCACAGTGATCTCTACCTAGCAGAGCAAGCATGCAGCTATATATAGATCACAGTACAAGTAAAGTCTACAGCAAGTGAGGAAACGTGGGCACAAGGCCTAACAGAGTGCAGAAACGCTGATGATCACCAGACGGAAGCGCCTTGGTGAATATATCAGCAGTGTTGGCCCGAGTGGCCACGTGAGCAAGACGAAGCTGACCACGCTGCTGCAACTCTCGAGCCAGGAAGTAACGCAGAGAGATGTGCTTCATTCTGTGCTCCAGTCTGTGCTCCTGACACAAGGCAATGGCGGCCTTGTTGTTGACGTACAGCACTGGAGGAGAACGAGGCCGCTCTCCCAAGTCGGCCAGCAGGTAGGTGAACCAGCGTAACTCCTGTGCAGCCATGGCTGTGGCGTAGATCTCAGCCTCACAACTGGAGCTGAGAACTGAAGACGAGCGTGTAGAACGCCAAGAAACCGAAGCAGAGCCAAGGCTGGAGGTGTAACCCTGTGACGACCGCTGCGTAGCCTGGTCGTCAACCCAAGAAGCGTCTGAGTGGCCAGTGAGGACAACGTCGCTCCGTCCTCCAAGCACGAGCCCCATGCCCGATGTATTGCACAAGTAGCGTAGTACCCTCTTAGCAGCATCCATGTGCACCTTTCGGTGCCGACCAGGAGCCACGTAGCGAGCTAGAAGGCCAAGATGGTACGCAAGGTCAGGACGAGTGCAGGTCATCAGGTACATGAGGCAGCCCACTAGCTCTGGGTAAGGACCACTCGGCTCTACGAACTCGTCCGAAGGTGGAGCTGAGAGCGAGTGACCTGTAGCCAGAGGAGTGGCCTGTGCCGAGGACCAGGTGAAGCCGAAGCGCTGAAGGACCTGCTGCACCATGTGTGACTGAGTCAGTGTGATGGTGCGGCGTGCTCTGTCCCGGGTGATCCGCAAGCCAAGATAGCTTGTCAGCTCACCCAGGTCTGTGCACGTGTGTCTCTTCTGCAGCTCCGACTTCACCAGGGCGAGAGCCTCAGTGTCAGCAGTGGCAAAGATCAAGTCGTCGACGTACACGAGGATGTAGAACGGCGGCAGCGAAGTGTCGGTGCGCAGAAACAGCGACGGGTCAGCAGTCGACGGAGCAAACCTAAGAGCCGCAAGTGTCGTCCTCCGTGTGTCGTGCCACTCACGTGGCGCCTGGCGGAGACCGTAGACCGGCAGCCTGAGGCTCCACTGGGTACCAGGAGGGAACGACCCAGTGAAGCCAGGTGGGCGGCGCAGCCAGATCTCCTCGTGCAGGCAGCCCTGTAAGAAGGCTGTGCTGAAGTCAAGAGAGTGAAGCTCGTAGTCACGCTGAGCGGCAACGTGCAGCAGCACCCGAAGAGTGGTCATCTTCGGGGTGGGGGAGAAGGTCTGGAAGAAGTCTACTCCCTCTCGCTGACTGAAACCTCGTGCAACGTAACGCGCCTTGAAGGCAGGCGGAGAACCTGGCGGCCGCTTCACCCTGAAAATCCACATGCCACTGACGATGTTCGCCCCAGGTGGGGGAACCTCGTCGACGTAGGTGCCTGTGGACTTCCAGGATGCCATCTCTGCGTCCATGGCTGTGTGCCACTGAGAGGAGTACTCACCCGCGATCGCCTCAGCGTAAGAGCGCGGGGTCGGGATGTCTGGAGCATCCGGGTCTCCCTCAGGGGCAAGCAGCATGGACATGAGATGAGGCGCAGCGGCTGCAAGACACTCAAGGTCCTCCTGCCTGTCCTCAAGGACGTCCGTGCCAAGAGCACACTCACCCCCGACGGACGGAGGACAGACAGACTCAGACTCAGCAACAAGACTAGCGGCGTAGTCTAGACGACAGGCAGCACCAAAGTCAACAAGCTCAGCAACTAAGGCAGACGTAGCAGCAGACTCAAACGACGGGTCAGTGACAACAGTGGCTAGCAGACGCGTGACAGTAGGGTGCTCAGCACGAAACCGGTCAGACTCGGGGTCCGCAACGACAGACAGAGAAGACGCAGGAGGGGACGGCAGTGGAACACGCTGCGGAGGAGAGGAAGGACGACGGACTACGAGGTGGGTGTCGGGGACAGCCGGCAGACGCGGACGAGGAACACGACGACCAAAACGACCAGAACTGACAGGCGAGACAGGACGCGACGCAGGCTCACGACGCTCAGTAAGACCCCCTAGCTGCTCAGTGTAAGGAGAAGGAGCAGGCAGCGGTGAGCCAGGCTGTAACGGAAGACCAGTAGACGAAGGGAGACTAAGAACCTGGCGAAGCACAGAGTCAGGCGGTGGCTGAGACGACGGAGACGGTGGAGCGAAGAACAGGTGCGGCTGTGCAGTGACACCAGCACCAGCAGCTCCAGTACCCCCAGCAGCTCCAGCACCTCCAGCAGCTCCAAAACCTCCAGCGCCAGCACCCTCAGCAGCTCCAGAACCTCCAGCTCCAGTGCCACCAGTGCCAGTACCTCCAGCAGCTCCAGAACCTCCAGCACCAGCACCCTCAGCAGCTCTAGAACCTCCAGCTCCAGCGCCACCAGCGCCAGTACCTCCAGCAGCTCCAGAACCTCCAGCACCAGCACCCTCAGCAGCTCCAAAACCTCCAGCTCCAGCGCCACCAGCGCCAGCACCTCCAGCAGCTCCAGAACACTCAGCGCCAGCTCCTCCAGGACCAGCTCCACCAATAGCAGCACCCCCAGAACCGGCACCTCCAGTCCCAAGGTCTCCAGCCTCAGTGCCTCCAGCAGCAGCACCCTCAGGCTCAGCACCTCCAGCCCCAGCAGCTCCAGTACCTCCAGTACGAGCACCTCCGGGACCAGCACCACTCCCAGCTCCAGTGACGTCAGCAGAAATGCCTCCTGCGGCAGAGCCCCGAGCTCCAGAAGTGGGACACTGACGGCGACCGTACCAGTCGTGCAGCTGCTGCGAGGTGAGAGGCATACGCGGACGAAGGCGGCTACTCCAAGGAAACCGCGCAACAGCAGACTCAGAATCCTCAGCGCCAGTACCCGCAGCAGCTCCAGAACCTCCAGCGCCAGCACCCTCAGCAGCTCCAGAACCTCCAGCTCCAGCGCCACCAGCGCCAGTACCTCCAGCAGCTCCAGAACCTTCAGCGCCAGCACCCTCAGCAGCTCCAGAACCTCCAGCTCCAGCGCCCTCAGCAGCTCCAGAACCTCCAGCAGAAACAACTCTAGTGGCAGAGTCACCAGCTCCAGCGCCTCCCGCAGCCGGGCCCCTAGCTCCAGCAGCGCGACCCTGACGGCCAGCGTACCACTGAAGCAGCTGCTGTGGGGAGAGAGGGAGGCGACGACGAGAGTGCAGCGGCGAGGCACCAGCGGAGCGAC